CCCAGGAGGGTCCAACCACGGCCCGAGACGGCCCCGGGACGGCTCCAGAGGCGCCCGAGATTGTCCAAGAGGCACCCACGACAGCCCCAAGAGCTTCCAATCACTGCCTAAATACGGTTCAGAAACGCTCAAGAGGGCGCCCGGACGCCCCACGAGGACCGCATGCGAGCCCCAGGATGGCCCCAGAGGCTTGCAAGGCGGGCCAGGAGGCTCCCGTGACGGCCCAGGAGGACCGCCAGGAGAGAACCGAGGCGCAAGATCGCCCCATTCTCTGCAGGAGACAACCATGTGTCATGTGTTCCTTCTGTCCGTTTGCACAGTTTCGAAGACGGCTGCACAGGGCCCCGAGATCGCCCTAAGACGCCCCCAGACGCCCCCGACCCTCTGGGAGCCATCTCTGCGCCATTTGGGGACGTCTCGAGGCGGTGCGCTCGAAAGATCGATTCGTGTCCTCACACTGGGGCCCGTCTTAGTGAGTTCGTGGGCCCCTGGGGCCGTCTGGGAAGCCACTTGGCCCGTCCTGGAGACCTTTTGGGCCGTCTCGCCGCACTCTTGCAGGCTTCTTAGGCCGCGCCCACTAGCCCCATTGTCACCGCACTACCAGATAAAATTATCATTCGGCCCCGGCGAAGAGCAGATAAACTTCTCACGGCTACCCTCCCCGCAGAAGATATGATGAACACAGACTGCGGCGTGAGAAACAGCTTCTGTCCACACCATGTCATGCATACATGGGTGTGCTTGCACTGACACCGTCTGCGCCACCGCGTTCCTGCCTCCAGGCCTGCTTGCTTGCATCCTTTGCCCACCTCCACCTCCAGCGGCCACCTCCTCCATCTACGCCGTCCCCTCCAACCACTCCTTACCCGCGAGGCCCCACAGACGCTCCACTTCCACGTCCACGCCATGGCGGGCAGATTCCGCGGCCGGAAGGCCGCGGGTCAGCCCTAGTCTTCTCTACAATGCAGGGACCCGTGCGTGCGGGAAGTGTCTCTGTCTTGATGGGCGTAAAATGCCCCACAACGGCTCCGGGGACGCCCCAGAGGCGCTCACGCGGCCCCAGAGGCCCCCAGGACGGCCCCAGACACCCCCAAAACGGCCCAAGAGCGCTCCGGACCGCCGAAAACGGCCCCGACAAGGCCCAGGAGGCCTCCACGACGGCCCCAGAGACGCTCAAGAGGCGTCCCAGGATGGCCCCCACAGGTCCAAATCATTGTTTTTCCAACGAAAACGTCCAATCTTAGCACGCACTGCTTGTCGGGAGTATGGCGCAGAAGATGGGACAAGAGGCCCCCACGACCGCCCCAAGACTGCCCAAGAGACCCCCCCGAGGCACGAAAACCGGCCCGCGAGAGCGTCCAGAGACCCAAGAGCCGCCCAACACGGCCCCCAGGCGGCCCCAAGAGGCTCCCAGGAGGCGCCCAGGACGGCCCCAGACATTCCCAAGACGGCCCAAGAGCGCTCCAAGAGAGCCCAAGACCGCCGAAAACAAACCCAAGACGGGTCAGGAGGCCTCCACGACGGCCCCAGAGACGCCCAAGAGGCGTCCAAGGATGGCCCCCAGAGGCGAAAATCATTATTTTCCCGGAGAAAAAATGCTCACTTCCAGCATGCGCTGCTTCACGGGAATACGGCGCAGAAGCTGGTCCCAGGTCCCCACGACCGCCCCAAGACGGCCCAAGAGGCCCCCAAGACGCACGAAGACGGGCCCGAGAGGGCGTCAAGAGAGCCCAAGAGGTGCCCACAACGGCCCCAGGGTGACACCATGAGGCTCCCAGGACGGCCCCAGGTATCCCCAAGACGCTCCAAGAGCGCTCCACGACAAGCCAAGACTGCCTTTTGCGGCGCCAAGACGGCCCAAGACGCCTCTACGACAGCCCAGGAGACGCCGAAGAGGCTTCCCAGGAGGGCCCCAGGAGGGCCCCGAGACGGCCCAAGACGCACCCAAGCCAGCCCCAAGAGCAGTTAACAATGGCCCAAGACGGCCCCACCGCCCCGTCTCCAAGACGGCTGTAGATGCCCCCACCGCCCCGTCTCCAAGCCTTTCCGTTTGGACAGTCTCCAAGACGGTCTCTGGGCCGTCAGGGACGGCTCCAGAGGCGCCCGAGACGGCTCAAGAAACAACAAGACAACCCCAAGAACGCCCAATATTTGTCCAAGATAGCTCCAAGACTGTCCCAAGATGCCGAGAGGCGCCCAAGACGGCCCCACATCGCCCCAAGACGGCCCAAGACGCACTCAAGATTGCCCAAGAGGGCTTTAAGAGACCCCCAGGAGGACGAAAAGGGCCCCCAAGCGGCCCCCAAGAGGCGTTGGATGCTTCTCTATTGGGGAGCGTCGAACTTCCAGTATCGTCTTGGGGGCTTCTTGGACCCACTGCGAGCCATCTCTGCGCCATTTGGGGACGTCTTGGGGCGGTGCGCTCGAAAGGTCGATTCGTGTCCTCGCACTGGGGCCCGTCTTAGGGAGTTACGTCTCGCCGCCCTCTTGCGGGCCTCCTAGGCCGCGCCCACTGGCCCCATTGTCACCACACTACCACATCAAATTATCATTCGGCCCCGGCGAAGAGCAGATAACTTCTCACGGCTGCCCTCCCCGCAGAAGCTATGATGAACACCGACTGCGGCGTCAGAAACAGCTGTCATGCCTACATGGGTGCGCTTCCATTGACACCGCCTCCACCACCGCGTTCCTGCCTTCAGGCCTGCTTGCCTGCATCCCTCGCCCACCTCCCCCTCCAGCGGCCACCTCCTCCATCCACACCGTCCCCTCCAACCTCCCCTTACCCGCGAGGCCCCAGAGACGCTCCACTTCCACGTCCAAGTCATGGCGGGCAGATTCCGCGGCCGGAAGGCCGCGGGTCAGCCCTAGTCTCTACTACATTGCAGGGCCCAGTGCGTGCCAGAAGAGCGCAGGCCCCAATGCACCGAAACCGCCCCGGGCTGGCCCCGGGCCGCCCCAGGCCGCCCAGGCAGGCTCCAGGACATATCGAGAGGGCCCCCCGAAGCCCCCAAGACGGCCCCGGAGAGCCCCGGCACGCTTAAAGATGGGCCCAAGACGCCCGAGATTCGCCCCAGACGGCCCAAGAGGCGTCCAAGACGCCCGAAGAGGCTTCCCAAGAGGCCTCCCAAGAGGGCCCCGGGCGACAGAAATCGTCGATTTCTGTTGTGTTTTTCGATGTTTTCGGCCTCCTCGCCTCTTCGGCTTCCCGACGCTCCAAGACGGCCCAAGAAGTCCTTCCGACTGCTCCAAGACGGCCGAAGAGGACCCCAAGAGAGCCCCAAGACGGGCCAGGAGGGCCCCAAGACGGTCCCAAGACGCACCAGCACGGCCCCAGGACGGCCCAGGAGGCGCCGAAGACGGCCCAAGAGGCACCCAAGACGGCCCCAGGAGCGGCCCAAGACGGCCCAAGACAGCCCAAGAGGCGCCGAGGCGGGCCTCAGACGGCCCCAAGACGGCCCAAGAGGCACCCAAGACGGCCCGAGAGGGCCCTAAGAGCCCCCCCGGGAGGCCCAAAAGAAGGCCGAAGAGGCTCCGAAACGCCCCCCACGAAGCCTTCAGTGGCTTCAGAATTCCCTCCAGGAGCTGGAGCCCGACGCCATCATGATTGCCTTTCGGCCCTGCAGCCGCACCCCCCCGCGCTTGCCCAGAGACCCCTCGCCACGTCGAGCTGATGTCGTGGACGGAGTCCACAGGTCTGCCCTAGTCAGCTACAGCGCTGGGATCAGCGCGTGCGAGAAGGGCGAGCAGTGGCAGTCAGCACTGGCGTTGCTGAGTGAGATGCGGGAGGTGAAGCTGGAGCCCGACGTCATCTCTCCTACAAGGCAACGTCCCAAGCATTGGTAGTGGACCAGCCCCCTCCGGCGGTCACCGGCGCGGCCCTGGGGCCCTCGCGCGTTGCCAAGATGGCGTCGGAGCGCTCCGAGCCGCCCCCGGAGGCCCCCGAGAGGGCCCGAAGACAGCCGAAGCCGGTCCAAGGGGGCCTCCGAGACGGGCCCCGAGCGCTCGAAGACGCCCAAGACAGCCGCCCGACGCGCCGAAGTGCTCCAAAGAGAGCCCCAGGAGAGCCCGATCAAGGAAAATCGTCCCAATCAGGACGTGCATTTCGGGAGTTCCCGTGCCTTTCCTCTTCGAAGCGTCCAAGACGGTCATACAGGCCCTCAAGATCGTCCCAAGACGCCTCAGGAGGCTGCCAGGAGGGCAGGGAGACGGGCCAAGGGCCCCAAGAAGGGGCCAGGACAGGGTGGGCGCGCTCCCGAGGGGCCCCAAGAGGGGGTCAGCAGGGCCCTAAGAGGGCCCCGACAAGGCACCATGACGCATGTACTTGGGTGCCCCTCTCGCAAGCCCAAGAAGCATGTCAAGTACATGCGGTTTGGGGCTCTCTTGGGGCCTCTTTGGGGCGCTCTTGCGGCCCTTTTGACGCCTTCGGGCCCCTCCAAGACAGGGCCGGGTGCACCCTGCCACAGAAAGGCCTCTTGTGGCAGAGTGGTGGGCGCCCAGCGGCATCTTGGGGCCCTCTTGGAGCCCTTTGGGTTCCCTCTTCGTGCCCTCTGGCACGACGGCCCCAAGACGGTCCCGACACTGCACCAGAGGCGCCCAAGACGGCCCCAAACGGCTCCAGCGAGGACCTCACCATGGGCGGCACGACCTTCGTTGGCCTGAGGCCGCCGCCGCGCGGTCGCGCGGCCCGCGGCACCGGCGAGGACCTCATCCATGGTGGGGCAAACCCTGGCCGCCAGTGGCAGCAAGCACGGGCATACACCAGTTATCTACAACGCTGGGATCAGCGCTTGCGAGAAAGGGCAGCAGTGGCAGCGGGCCCTGTCGCTGCTCAGCGAGATGGGCGAGACGAAACTGGAGCCCACTGTCATCAGCCACAACGCTGGGATCAGCGCGTGTGAGAAAGGTCAGCAGTGGCAGCGAGCCCTCTCGCTTCTCAGCGAGATGGTCGAGACACATTTGGAGCCCACTGTCACCAGCTACAATGCTGGGATCAGCGCATGCGAGAAAAGCAGTCAGTGGCAGCCGGCGCTCGCGCTACTGAGCAAGATGCGGGAGGCGAAGCTGGAGCCCGACGTCACCAGCTACAATGCTGGGATCAGCAGGGCAGGTTTTCGACGCTATTCCGATCCACTGTGGGCCTTCTCTTGCTCCTATCGGCGATCATTTCGGGCCTTTTCTGGGGCTTCATGGTGTATTTTGGCGGGTCTCGGCCCTGCCCTCTCATGATAGGGCAGGTTTTCGGCGCCATTGGGGCCCACTTTGGGCCATCTCCGCCAGTGGCAGTAAGCACGGGTACCCTTGCGTCCTTGCTCTTCCTTGCTCTTGCGTCCTCGAGGTTTTCGTCGGCCGCCGCCCCAAAAATCCCAACTTCGGCTTCCAAGGGTCTTTCGTCCTTACCGCGCGTTCTTATTAGGGTTTTTGATTGTAGCCTCTTCTACAATGCAGGGGTCCGCGCGTGCGCGAAGGTCCTGCAGGTATCCGCGCGCGCGAGAAGGTCCTCTGCCCCGAGTGGCCCTCCGGGCCCTCCGGGCCGCCCTGGGGACCACCATAGGACGCTCCGAGACGGCTCCGGGGGCCCCAGGAGGCCCCCAGACGGCCCCAAGACGGCTCAGGGACGCTCACGAGAGCGCCAGGTCGGCCCAAAGGGAACCCAAGTGAGCCCCAGGACAGCCCCAGCGGCCTCCAAGGCATATCAGGAGTTTCCCAAGATGGCCCAGGAGGGCCTCCAGGAGAGCCCCCAGAAGCCAAACTCGTATAATTTCCGAGAAGAAACGCACAAGTCCAGTATATCTATATGTTGTTTTCATCCTGGCAGCGTCCAAGATGGCTAGGCATGCCCTAGCTCGCCCCACGACGCGCCCAGACGCCCCCAGGAGGGCCCCGAAACGGCCCCACACGGCCCCGGGACGGCTCCAGAGGCGCACAAGAGCAGCCAATAATGGCCCACGGGGTGGCTCCGAGGGGCTGCAGGGGGCGCCGGGACGGCCTCAGAGCACCCCTGGGAGCCCCAAGACAGCCCCAGAGGCCCCCAGGGCAGGCCAGGAGGCTCCCAAGATGGCCCAGGAGGGCCTCCAGGAGAGCCCGAAGAGGCCAAAATCGTCCCATTCCCTATGGGAAACGCACATGTTCACCATATCTTGTTCCCAACCATCCTGTGGTGTTGGGTCCTCGTTTTGAAGAGACGTCGCCCCGCGTTCCTTCCTTCCTTCCCGCTGCCCCCTCCCTCCTCCCATCTTCATCATCATCGTCATCACCCATTTCGGCACACCCCTCACACGTTTCGTGGCCCCATAGGGAGCTCCACCGAAGGTCCCAGTGGGTGTGCCCGCATGCGTCCCGCACACCCATTTCGGCACACCCCTCACACGTTTCGTGGCCCCATAGGGGCTCCACCGAAGGTCCCAGTGGGTGTGCCCGCATGCGTCCCGCACACACATTTCGGCACACCCCTCACACGTTTCGTGGCCCCATAGGGAGCTCCACCGAAGGTCCCAGTGGGTGTGCCCGCATGCGTCCCGCACACCCATTTTGGCACACCCTCACACGTTCGTGGCCCCATAGGGAGCTCCACCGAAGGTCCCAGTGGGTGTGCCCGCATGCGTCCCGCACACCCATTTCGGCACACCCCTCACACGTTTCGTGGCCCCATAGGGAGCTCCACCGAAGGTCCCAGTGGGTGTGCCCGCATGCGTCCCGCACACCCATTTCGGCACACCCCTCACACGTTTCGTGGCCCCATGAGCCCCAGTAGGCATGGGCTCCACCGAAGGTCCCAGTGGGTGTGCCCGCATGCGTCCCGCACACCATTTCGGCACACCCCTCACACGTTTCGTGGCCCCATAGGGAGCTCCACCGAAGGTCCCAGTGGGTGTGCCCGCATGCGTCCCGCACACTCATTTCGGCACACCCTCACACGTTTCGTGGCCCCATAGGAGCTCCACCGAAGGTCCCAGTGGGTGTGCCCGCATGCGTCCCGCACACCCATTTCGGCACACCCCTCACACGTTTCGTGCCCCATAGGGAGCTCCACCGAAGGTCCCAGTGGGTGTGCCCGCATGCGTCCCGCACACCCATTTCGGCACACCCCTCACACGTTTCGTGGCCCCATAGGGAGCTCCACCGAAGGTCCCAGTGGGTGTGCCCGCATGCGTCCCGCACACCATTTCGGCACACCCCTCACACGTTTCGTGGCCCCATAGGGAGCTCCACCGAAGGTCCCAGTGGGTGTGCCCGCATGCGTCCCGCACACCCATTTCGGCACACCCCTCACACGTTCCGTGGCCCCATAGGGAGCTCCACCGAAGGTCCCAGTGGGTGTGCCCGCATGCGTCCCGTCGTCTCTCTGCCCAGCGGCAAGAGCCTTGCCCGCTATCAGCCAGCCAGCTAGCTCTTTTTGCTCCGCGCAGTGGACGACCCGCGCGCGTCGCTGGGACCCCTCCGGGGCGACCTGCGCGCGTCGCGGGGACTCCGCGCTGCGCTGCGCCCGCAACCTTGGACTTTTGAGTGCGCGGGCAAAGAGGGAGTAAAGGAAGGGGAGGAAGCGGGCGCGATCCTCGCCGGTGGGCGCGCCGACATTGGCGTCGCGGCGCGCGGGCGATGCCGTCGGGGAGTCCCGGGGAAGCTCCTTGCGGCGGCCACGCCCAGCGTCACGAGTACTCAGAGGCAGACATTGTCAAACTATTGACATTCATACACAATTGCGCCACGCTTTGTCATATTCGCATTCATGCACGTAGACTCGTTCGCACGCAGATTCATTCACAGTCAGACGCACGCGCGCAGATTCACCCGCGCTCAGTCTCCCTACGTACTCAGATCAATCGTTTTCGTTCGCGTTGTGTACCACGCCACTCATGTCGGCACACCCCTAGCACGGTTCGTTGCCTCATAGGGATCGCCACCGAAAAAGTGAATCACTATTGCGGTACTCACACCTGTATATGGTTGGGTCCCTCGTCAGGCTAATTTTTTCGTCCTCGCAGCGTCCAACACGGCCATGCAGGCCCCCTAGCTCGCCTCAAGACACGGACAGCGGCTCCCAGGAGGTCCCCTGAAAGGCCACACGCGGCCCCGGGACGGCTCCAGAGACGGCACCCCGTCTCCAAGACGGCTGTACAGGCCCCCAAGACCACCCTGTCCCCAGGCCTTTCCATCTGCACCCTCTCCAAGACGGCTGTACAGGCCCCCAGATCGCTCCAAGACGCTCCCAGACGCCCCAAGGAGGACCCCAAAACGGCCCGAGACAGCCCCGGGACGGCTCCAGAGGCGCCCGAGACGGTCCAAGAAACACCCAACACAGCCCCAAGAGCGCTCAGCATCAGCCCAAGATGGCCCCAAGACGGCCCCCAGATGGTCCGACAGGCGCCCGAGACGGCCCCACATCGCCCCAAGACGGCCCAAGAGGAACTTAAGACGGCCCAAGAGGGCCCCGAGGGATCCCCAGGAGGACGAAAAGACACCTAAACGGCCCCCAAGAGGCCGTGGATCCTTCTTTCTTGGGAAGCGTTGATCTTCCAGCGTCGTCTTGGGGGCTTCTTAGACCCTCTGGGAGCCATCTCTGCGCCTTTTGGGGGCGTTTTTGGGCGGTGCGCTCGAAAGGTCGATTCGTGTCCTCGCACTGGGGCCCGTCTTAGGGAGTTCGTAGGGCCCTCTGGGGCCGTCTTGGAAGCCTCTTGGCCCGTCCTGGAGACCTTTTGGGCCGTCCCGCCGCCTTCTTGCGGGCCTCTTAGGCCGCGCCCGCTGGCCCCACTGTCACCACACTACAAGATACAATTAGCATTCGACCCCGTCGGAGAGCAGATCAAATTATCACGGCTACCCTCCCCGCAGAAGCTCTGATGAGCGCAGACTGCGGCGTGAGAAACAGCTTCTGTACACACCATGTCATGTCTACATGGGTGTGATTCCACTGACACGGCCTCCACCACCGCGTTCCTGCCTTCAGGCCTGCTTGCCTGCATCCCTCGCCCACCTCCCCCTCCAGCGGCCACCTCCTCCATCCACGTCGTCCCCTCCAACCTCCCCTCACCTGCGAGGCCCCAGAAACGCTCCACTTCCAAGTCCACGCCATGGCGGGGAGATTCCACAGCGGGAAGGCCGCGGGTCAGCCCTAGTTAGCTACAGCGCTGGGATCAGCGCGTGCGAGAAGGCCGATCAGTGGCAGCCGGCGCTGGCGTTGTTGATCGAGATGTGGGAGGCGAAGTTGGAGCCCGACGTCATCAGCTACAACGCTGGGATCAGCGCGTGCGAGAGGGGCGAGCAGTGGCAGCGGGCGCTTGCGCTGCTGAGCGAGATGCGTGCGGCGAAGCTGGAGCCCAACGTCATAAGCTACAGCGCTGGGATCAGTGCGTGCGAGAAGGGCGAGCAGTGGCAGTGGGCGCTGGCGTTGTTGCGCGAGATGCGGGAGGCGAAGCTGGACCCCAACGATTTCAGCTACAACGCTGGGATCAGCGCGTGCGAGCAGGGCGAGCAGTGGCAGCGGGCTCTTGCGCTGCTGAGCGAGATGCGTGCGGCGAAGCTGGAGCCCGACGTCATCAGCTACAGCGCTGGGATCGGCGCGTGCGAGAAGGGCGAGCAGTGGCAGCTGGCGCTTGTTTTTTTGAGCGAGATGTGCGGGAGGCGAAGCTGGAACCCGACGTCATCTGCACTACAGTACCAGAGTCAGCGCGTGCGAAAAGACAGCAGGGTGGCATTGGCCCGCCTCGGTCCGGCTCGGCCCGGCTTGGCCCGCTGCGGGCAGGCGCTGCGAGCTGCCCCCGCAGGCCCCCAGGAGGGCCCGAAAACGCCCGAAGATCGTCCAAGAGGCCCGCCGAGACGGACCCCGAGCTCTCGAAGATTCCAGACAGCCGCCCGACGGCCCCAGAGGCCACCAAAACGCTCTAAGTGGGCTCCAGAAAGAGCCCCAGGAGAGCCCGAACAAGGAAACATCGCCCCAATCCCAAGGGAACACGTACATTTCAGGAGTTCCCGTGTTTTTCGTGTCGAAGCGCCCAAGATGGCCACACAGGCCTTCAAGATCGTCCCAAGAGGCTTCAGGACGCTGCCGGGAGGGCCCCGAGACGGCTCAAGACTGCTCCAGGACGGCTCCTCAGGCGCCCATGGCGGCCTCAGTGGGGGGCCAGGACAGGGCGGGAGCGCTCCCGAGGAGCTCCCAAACGGGGCCAGGAGGGCCCCAAGAGGCCCCGACAAGGCCCCATGACGCATGTACTCCATGGGTGTCACTCTCGTAAGCCCAGGAAACATATCGAGTACATGCGGTTTGGGGCCCTCTTGGGGCCCCCTTGGGGCGCTCTTGCGGCCCTCTTGGGGCCCCTCCAAGGCAGGGCCAGGTGCATTCTGCCACAGAAAGGCCTCTCGTGGCAGAATGGTGGGCCCGCGCCCGGCGGCGTCCTGGGGCCCTCGTGGAGCCCTCTTGGTGCCCTTTCGGGGCCCTCTTCGTGCCTTCTGACACGACGGCACCAAGACGGTCCCGACACTGCCCCAGGGACGCCGGAGCGGTTCAACTTCGATAAGACTTATCGAAGTTGAACCGCTCCGGCGGTTCACCCGCGGTGTGCGAGTCCCAGGTTCAGCACACCGCGGATTTAGCCTACGGGTTCACACTAGTGTTTTCTCTATGGCGGACATCAGCGCGTGCCAGAGGGGCAAAACAGCGCATGTGGATAGACGCGCTCCCTGGAGGGCCATATTTCGACACCCCTCACGAAGATCCTGGCCCCCGAGCGTCACAAATTGAGCCTTCCGCGCAAAGACGCGCCGAAGTGGCCATAAGAGGCTCCAAAGAACACCCGAGAGGGCCCCCAGAGGCCCCCAACAAGGCCCAAGAGGCTTCCAAGAGCCTCCAACGGTCCTCCGAAGCATGCCCCCAGAGGCCAGAGTCTTAGATTTTTCAATTGTTATGGAACCAGTGTTGCCTTCTCGCGTTCTCGGCTAGCCGACGATCCAAGACTGCCGAAGAGACCCACAAGACCGCCCCAGGACGGCCCGCCTCCAAGCGCGTCCCCAGACGGCCCAGGGAGCCCCAAGATGGCCCAAGAGGCGCCCAAGGCGGCCCCAGAGGACCCCAAGCCAGGCTCAAGAGGGGGCCAAAGAGCTTGGATAATCTTAACATTCCGAGCCCTGGGCCCCCATACGCCCACACAAGGCCACAAGACCACCCCAAGGGAACGCCAAGAATTCCCCAGAGGCCCCCAAGGCAGGCCAGGCGGCCACCAAGACGGCCCAGGAGGGCCTCCGGGAGAGCCCCAAGAGTCCAAACTCGGTCCACTCCTTGCAGGAATCGCACATGTTCACTATGTTTTTTTGGTTGTTCCCCCTCCTCGCAGCGCCCAAGACGGCTATACAGGCCCTCCAGTTCGCCCCCAAACGCCCCAGGACCGTCCCAGGACCGCCCAGAGGCTCCCAGGAGCGCTCGCCAGAGGCCCCAAGGCAGGCCATTCCCAAGCCGCAAGCCATTCCCGACGAAAAACGCACATGTTCATAATATCTTGTTTGTGCGTCCTCACAGCGTCCACGACGGCTATACAGGCCCCCCAGCTCGCCCCAAGACGCGCCCAGAGGCCCCCAGGAGGGTTCCAAAACGGCCACACACGGCCCCCGGACGGCTCCAGAGGCGCCAGACACGGCCCAAGACGCACCCAAGACAGCCCCAAGAGCAGTTCATTATGGCCCAAGACGGCCCCACCGCCCCGTCTCCAAGACGGCTCTACAGGCTCCCGCCGCCCCGTCTCCAAGCCTTTCCGTCTGCACAGTCTCCAAGACAGTTGGCTGTACAGGCTCCCAGATCTCTCGAGATGCTCCTAGACGCCCCCAGGAGGACCCCAAAACGGTCTCGGGCCCGGGACGGCTCCAGAGGCGCCCAAGACGGCTCAAGAAACACCCAAGACAGCCCCAAGAGTTTTGCCCAAGATGACCCCACGACGGCCCCAAGATGGTCCGACAGGCGCCCGAGACGGCCCCACATCGCCCCAAGACGGCCTCAGAGGCCTTCAAGACGGCCGAAAAGAGCACCAAGAGACCCCCAGGAGGACGAAAAAAGGCCCCCAAAGAGCCCCCAAGAGGCTTTGGATCCTTCTCTCTTGGGGAGCGTCGAACTTCCAGCGTCGTCTTTGGTGCTTCTTGGACCCTCTGGGAGCCATTTCTGCGCCTTTGTGGAACGTCTTGGGGCGGTGCGCTCGAAAAGTCGATTCGTATCCTCGCACTGGGGCCCATCTTAGGGATTTCGCGGGGCCCCCGCTGGGGCCGTCTGGGAAGCCTCTTGGCCCGTGCTGGAGACCTGTTGGGCCGTCTCGCCGCCTTCTCGCGGGCCCCTTAGGCCGCGCCCGCCGGCCCCACTGTTACCACACTACAAGATAAAAGTATCATCCGGCGAAGAGCAGATCAAATTATCACGGCGACCCTCCCCGCAGAAGCTATGATGAACACAGACTGCGGCGTGAGAAACAGCTTCTGTCCACACCACGTCATGCCTACATGGGTGCGTTTGCACTGACACGGCCTCCACCACCGCGTTCCTGCCTTCAGGCCTGCTTGCCTGCATCCCTCGCCCATCTCCCCCTCCAGCGGCCACCTCCTCCATCCACGCCGTCCCCTCCAACCTCCCCTCACCTGCGAGGGCCCAGAGACGCTCCACTACCACGTCCACGCCGTGGCGGGTAGATTCCGCTGCCGGGAGGCCGCGGGTCAGCCCTAGTCTTCTTCTCTACAATGCAGGGATCCGTGCGTGCGGGAAGGGTCCCTGTCATGATCGCCTGAAAATACTCCACAACAGCTCCGGGGACGCCCCAGAGGCGCCCACGCGGCCCAAGAGGCGCCCAGGACGGCCCCAGACACCCCCAAAACGGCCCAAGAGCGCTCCAAGAGAGCTCAAGACCGCCGACAACGGCCCCGACAAGGCCCAGGAGGCCTCCACGACGGCCCCAGGGACGCCCAAGAGGCGTCCCAGGATGGCCCCCACAGGCCCAAATCATTGTTTTTTCCAACGAAAAACGTCTAATTTTAGCACATTATTTGTCGGGAGTATGGCGCACAAGACGGGACAAGAGGTCCCCACGACCGCCCCAAGACGGCCCAAGAGGCCTCCCAGAGGCACGAAAACTGGCCCGAGAGAGCGTCAAGAGACCCAAGAGGCACCCAACACGGCCCCCAGGCGGCCCCAAGAGGCTCCCAGGAGGCGCCCAGGACGGCCCCAGACACCCCCAAGACGGCCCAAGAGCGCTCCAAGAGAGTCCAAGACCGCCGAAAACAAACCCAAGACGGCCCAGGAGGCCTCCACTACGGCCCCAGAGACGCTCAAGAGGCGTCCAAGGATGACCCCCAGATGCGAGTTTTCAACCCTAACTTTTAGCATGCGCTGCTTGTCGGGAATATGGCGCAGAAGCTGGTTCCAGGTCCCCACGACCGCCCCAAGACGGCCCAAGAGGCCCCCAAGACGCACGAAAACCGGCCGGAGAGGGCGTCAAGAGAGCCCAAGAGGCGCCCAAAACGGCCCCAGGGCGACACCAAGAGGCCCCCAGGACGGCCCAAGGTATCCCATTTTTTCGGCATCCCTCACGGAGATCCTGGCCCCCGAGCGTCACAGATCGAGCCCTCCGCCCACCGACGCGCCGAAGTGGCCATAAGAGGCTCCAAGCAGCGCCCAAGAGGCCCCCAACAATGCCCAAGAGGCCTCCAAGAGCCTCCCACAGTCCTCCGAAGCATGCTCCCAGAGGCCAAAATCTTTAATTTTTTAATGGTGTTTGAAGGAGTGTTGCCTTCTCGCCTTCTCGGCTAGCCGACGCTCCAAGACGGCCGCAGAGACCCACAAGACCGCCCCAGGACGGCCCAACAGGCCTCCAAGCGCGTCCCCAGACGGCCCAGGGAGCCCCAAAATGGTCCAAGAGGCCCAAGCCAGGCCCAAGAGGGGGCCGAAGAACAGGGAAACACCCTGGCATTCGGAGCCCTGGGCCCCCATACGCCCACACAAGGCCCCAAGAGCGCCCGAAGACGCTCCGAAGAGGGCCCCCAAACGGCCCGAGTGCCCCGGGATGGCTCCAGAGGCGCCCGAGACGGCTTAAGAGACACCCAAGACAACCCGAAGAGCGCCCAATAACGGCCCAAGATGGCCCCAAGACGGCCCCAAGATGGCCCCAGAGGCGCCCAAGACGGCCCGACAGGGCCCCAAGACGGCCCAAGAGGCACTCCAGATGGCCCAAGAGGGCCCCGAGCGACCCCCAGGAGGACGAAAAACGGCCCCCAAACGGCCACCAAGAGGCCTTGAATGCTTCTTGTTGAGGAGCGTCGAACTTCCAGCGTCGTCTTGGGGACTTTTTGGACCCTCTGGGAGCCATCTCTAGGCTTTTTGGGGACGTTTGGGGGCGGTGCGCTCAAACGGTCGCTTCGTGTCCTCGCATCGAGGCCCGTCTTAGGGAGTTCGTGGGGCCCTCTTGGGCCGTCTTGGAAGCCTCTTGGCCCGTCCTGGAGACTTCTTGGGCCGTCTCGGCGCCTTCTTGCGGGCCTCTTAGACCGCACCCGTCCCATTCTCACCGCACTACCAGATAAAATTATCATTCGGCCCTGGCGAAGAGCAGATACAATTATCACGGCGACCCGCCCCGCAAAAACTATTACGAACACAGAGCGCGGCGTGAGAAACAGCTACATCATGTCGTGCATGGGTGTGCGTCCATTGATACCGCCTCCACCATCGCGTTCTTGCCTTCAGGCCTGCCTGCCTGCATCCCTCGCCTACCTCGCCCTCCAGCGGCCACATCCTCCATCCACGCCGCCCCCTCCAACCTCCCCTCACCTGCGAGGCCCCAGAGACGCTCCACTACCACGTCCACGCCATGGCGGGTAGATTCCGCGGCCGGGAGGCCGCGGGTCAGCCTTAGTCTTCTCTACAATGCAGGGATCCGTGCGTGCGGGAAGGGTCCCTGTCATGATCGCCTGAAAATACTCCACAACGGCTCCGGGGACGCCCCAGAGGCGCCCACGCGGCCCAAGAGGCGCCCAGGACGGCCCCAGACACCCCCAAAACGGCCCAAGAGCGCTCCAAGAGAGCTCAAGACCGCCGACAACGGCCCCGACAAGGCCCAGGAAGCCTCCACGACGGCCCCAGAGACGCCTCCACGACGCCCCAGAGACGCCCACGACGGCCCCGCGAGTCTCCCGAGACGCTCCATTTCCACGTCCACGCCATGGTCAGCCCTAGTCAGCTACAGCGTTGGGACCAGCGCGTGCGAGAAGGGCGAGCAGTGGCAGCGGGCGCTGACTTTGTTGAGCGAGATGCGGGAGGCGAAGCTGGAGCCCGACGTCATAAGCTACAGCGCTGGGATCAGCGCGTGCGAGGCGGGAGGCGAATCTGGAGCCCGACGTCATCAGATACAGCGCTGGGGTCAGCGCGTGCGAGAAAGGCGAGCAGTGGCAGCGGGCTCTTGCGCTGCTGAGTGAGATGCGGGAGGCGAAGCTGGAGCCCGACATCATCAGCTACAGCGCTGGGATCAGCGCGTGCGAGAAGGGCGGGCAGTGGCAGCGGGCGCTTGCGCGGATGAGCGAGATGCGGGAGGCGAAGCTGGAGCCCAGCGTCATCAGCTACAACGCCTGGACCAGCGCGTGCGAGAAAGGGCGAGCAGTGGAAGTGGGCTCTGGCGCTGCTGAGCGAGATGTGGGACCTGAAGCTTTCGCCCAACGCACCCAGCTACAGCCCTGCGATCGTCACTTTGCTTGGGAGAGACGATGCGACAGGCGAGTCAGCTACACTGTACACTGTTTAGGAACAGCGCGTGGGTGGAAGGAGGAGCAGGAGGAACAGCACGAGGAACGGGGGTGAAGAGGAGGAGGAGGAGGAGAAGGAGGAGGAGGAGGTGGAGGAGGAGGAAAAGGAGGAGTAGGGGGAAGAGGAGGAGGAAGAAGAGGAGGAGGAAAAAGAGGAGGAGGAGGAGGAGGAGGGGGAGGAGGAAGCGGAGCAGCTCCTGGGCTCTCTTGGGCAAAGTTTGGCCACGCTATTGGACCATGCGTTCCCCCAGCCGTTGTGGAAGCCCTTCGGGGAACACGTGGTGGGTGAAGAGGAGGATGAGGAGAGGGAGGACAAGGAGGATGAGCAGAATGATGCGGTCTCGACTTGGGAGCTTCTTGGGTCATTCTTGGGGCCTCTTGGGTAGCTTACTGAGGGCCTTTCGGACGCCTTTTGGTGGTCTCATTGGCCTGAACGCCCGCGGCGGGGTCGCCGCCGTGTCGACACGTCGCGAACCTGCCGCGATGGAATCGACATGCTGAGTTCTTTCAACGTCCGATGTTTTCGTTCGTCGGCTCTCTGCTCCCATGGAGTTGGGGGAGCTTCTCTGGGCCCTCTTGGGGCCCTCTTGGGGCCATTCGGGGCCGTGTTGACAGCCATCTTGGACGTCTTGGAGGCCCAAAGAGGCCCCCAAGGAGCCTCCGAAGTTCCCGAGAGGGCTAAGGAGGCCCCCAAGAGGGCCAAGGAGGCTCCTAAAAGGCCTCCAAGAGGCTTCGAAGAGGCTCCCACCAGGAAGCTCCCATTAGGCCCCAAGAGTGCCCGAGCTTGAACATTGTCTCGCCCTTATCCTCAGTCTTTTGAACACAGAGCCATTTAATGATGTTAAGCCGGCCACTGAAGGTGGTTCAATTTTCCCCCAGTGTCCTTGTCACGAAACTGTAGCTCGTAAGTGGTCTTGTCTTGTCCCTCCTCTGATCCTCCCCATCATCCTCCCCCAAGTGGTTCCCTGAGAGATTCCAGAGCGGCTGAGGGAATCTGTAGTCCGATGGCTTTGCCAAGCTGGGGCCCAACGGTTGGCTACAGAGGCGGTTCCTAAGAGGGCAAGTGGCGGCGGTGCTTCGTAGTAGGCATGCTCGATTTGTACGCACACAGTTAACCGGGCGAAGTTCCCAACCCAGTCACGTGTAGCGCAGGGCGTTGCCCTTCCTTCATTCACTGCGTGCCGCGGGACAGTGCGCATGGAGTGTGTCTGCGGAGCATGTTTGCACAGGCGCGCTGAACTCCGTATAGAATGCGCGTAAAGGGGGCGCCGAAATGCGCGGGGGGACGCCAAGCGAAGTAGCCCGATGGTGCCATAGGTGGAACTCCTTCCGGGGCACGATTCGCGTCAGGGTTGCTCCGAAATGTTCGTGGGGACCATGTGCGAACCTTGTCTCTAGGTGGGTAGTGCTCCCTGTGGTGCACGATCCGCGTGAGTGGTGTGCCGCAATGGGCGGGGGGGAGGGCGCGCAATGCGAGCGCTGCCTCTGGGGCCGTCGGTGGAATTCCCTGCGGGGCACGATCCGTGTGAGAGGTGTGCCGAAGTGAGCAAGGCGACACTATTCGAAGCTTCCCTCTGGTGCTGTTAGGGCAGCCGCCTGCTGGTCGCAGTCCGACCCGCGTGAGGGGTGCCGCTGTGCGATCTTGTCTCTGGGGCCGTAGGTGGAGCTCCCTGTGGGGCACGGTTCTTGTGGAGGGTGCGACTCGTTGGGCGGAGGGGCGCTGTGCGAGCCCTGCCTCTGGGGCCACAGGCGGAGCTCCCTGCTGGGGCACGATCCGTGCGGAGGATGTGTGCCGCAAGAGGCGGGGGGGCGCCGCCGAGACGGGCATGCCCACGATGGCGCGGAGCTTCCCGCGCGATGACCGTGGCGGGATGCTGCGCGTGCCCATCCGCTGACCGAGACGACGCTGGCTTCGGCTGGGCTGGAGCCGTGGCCGTAGTGCGCAGGCGTGCGGCCCCGGCTCCTGCAGCGAAGGGCGGGAGGGAGGGGCGAGGGCCAGCGGCGGGTTTGTGGCAAGCCGACCCCTCCCCCCTCGCCTCGCTCCCTGGCGCGGGCAGGCGGCCCAAGCGGCCCCTGGCAAACCGACCTCTCCCTCCTCGCGTCGTTCCCGGGCGCGGGCAGGCGGCCCGAGCGGCCCCTGGCAAATACCCGACCTCTCTCCCCCTCGCCTCGCTCCCGGGCGCGGGCAGGCGAACGGAGGGAGGGCGAGGCTGTCGTGGAGGGGCCTCCTCACGGCAGGGGTCGGTTGGGCCGCGCCCGTGAGGTCTGACCTGGCAGTCAGGTCGCGCCCGTTGGACCGCGCCCGAACTGCTCGCGCTGCGGGAGAGTTGCGACGGGCAGTTCTTGCTCAGCTTTCGGAGCCTTCGGAGGCCCGCGCGGATGTCTCGGGGCGGCATCTGGCCCCCCCTTCCTTGGCGTGCGCAGATCCGAAGGTTTAGGTTCATGAAGCTCCTCTCCTCCGATGATCTTCGCTCTTTGGGGGTATTCGTTGATCCGCTGACTGAGGACGTGTGTTAGCCCAATGGGTGTGCTTCCCCGCTTAGCTCCACCGAGCGCAGGCAGCGTGAGTCAGCCTTCAAATGCGTGGCCTTCGTCGTACTGGAGGGCCTCGGCGGCGCCTGGTGGACAAGCGCACGATGGCGCTAGCACACGGTCTGAGGCTCAGCAAGGCACATCCTCTCCTCCGCGCGCTTGCATTGCAGCATGGCCGCTGCACTGAGCAGCGACAGGTGGGTACTTGTCCATCGGATGGTCGCGCCCCTCGTCCTTTTCCTTCCTCCCTCTCTCCAATATCTCGCGCTGCGGGGAAATCGTCTTCGCGCACACGCACGCTGGCGCGGGAAGCGCCCCCGCTCCCGCCGCGAGGAGGCGCTGGCCGACGGCGAGGGCCCGCTCCGGCCCGGCGACTTCGACTTCGCGGCCCGGCGCTTCCTCGCGGAGCTTTCGGCCCCGGGCCGAAGAGTCGATGACATGTAAGAGTTCAGAGGTGGGAAAGGTGCCCATACGGTGGGACGACGAAATGTTGCAAGTTGCTGGCCGCGCACGGCTGCGCCTACATTGCGACGCCACCTCGACGAAACGCCCCCGCCCCCTACATTTCAATGTTGGCATCGAGCGAGCACCCCAAGTCCGGGAGGACAAAATAATGCAAGTCAACATTGAAATACGGGGGAGGGGGAGCTCCTCGGAGATCGATGGAATATGATCAAAGTTCACACGTTGTTTCTCGGAACGATCATATAACTTGCGATATTTTGTCCGCCCACTGTACCACTACCCTTGCCGTCTCGTTTTCGCCCTCTTGGGCCTGCTGGGAGGCACTCGCCGCCACCGCTGGAGTCGCCTCGAAATTCTGGTCAGGACGCACCCCGGGAGAGGTCTGGGGAGCAGCGGTATCGGTATCTTTTGGTTTCTTCAAGATCAGGAGGGGACAAAACACACAGACATAATTAATCGTCCACTCCCCAGAAAATGTGGGAACATATGGGAAGTGGGGGGGAAGACGAGAACCTCAAAATATGGGACAAGATGGGGAATATTTTTATTTGTGTGTATTTATTTGTGTGTCCTTGGGCCCCTTCAATCTTCTGGTTTCTCCAAGAGTGGCCCTTCGCCGGAGTGGCCTTCGGTGCGGGCTCGCCGGGGCGTCCCCGAGCGCCGAGCGGCGCAATGCAGTGGTGGCTGCCTGCGCGCTTGGATGTGGCGGGAATGATCTAATCAATTTGAGCGCTATTGATAACACCGAAAGGCTAATCAATCGATGCTCAATGTTGCCCTTGTGTCCAGTCGATCCGTTTTCAGGCCCTCTTCTTGTCTGGACCACGGGCTGCTTTCGGAAAAGAATCGTGCCCTCTCGGGGCCCCCATCCACGATGTCGGCCTCGCCTGCAACCCCGATCTACAGTCGGACCGAGGCATCATATCGGGGCTGGTTCGGGGAGGGCACCCAAACGTTTTTCGTGCTCGTTGGATGCTCTCAGTGCCTCCTAAGGAGGGTGCCCTTGAGTGTTCCGTGTGCCCCGGCCCACAGAGGGCCTCATGGTTTTGGAGGGGTGTTCTTCTGGCCCAGGTCCGGCTGCATCAGCAACGTGTCGCCTTTCCAAAACAACATACCAAATCGGCGCAAAAATTATCCTGGCGAAAGACCCAACCCATAAGCAATTGTTGGTAACGCGTTGTGGGTGCCGCTTTCGGTGGGGCTCCATATGGGGCCACGAAGCGCTGCCTTGGATGGGGGAACCGCATGCGGACTGCGCCACCGGGGCGGGCCTTCGGTGGAGCTCCCTATGGGGCTACGAAACGCTGCCCTGGGTGGGGGAACCGCATGCGAACTGCGCCACTGGGGCCTTCGGTGGAGCTCCCTATGGTGCCACGAAACGCTGCCCTGGGTGGGGGAAGCGCATGCGAACTGCGCCACGGGGGCTTTCGGTGGAGCTCCCCATGGGGCCACGAAGCGCTGCCCTGGGTGGGGGAACCGCATGCGAGAGCAGCCACTGGGGCCTTCGGTGGAGCTCCCTATGGGGCCACGAAACGCTGCCCTGGGTGGGGGAACCGCATGCGAACACCCCCACTGGGGCCTTCGGTGGAGCTCCCTATGGGGCCACGAAACGCTGCCCTGGGTGGGGGAACCGCATGCGAACACCCCCACTGGGGCCTTCGGTGGAGCTCCCTATGGGGCCACGAAACGCTGCCCTGGGTGGGGGAACCGCATGCGAACACCCCCACTGGGGCCTTCGGTGGAGCTCCCTATGGGGACGCTGCCCTGGGTGGGGGAACCGCATTGGGGCCTTGGAGCTCCCTATGGGGCCACGAAACGCTGCCCTGGGTGGGGGAACCGCATGCGACACCCCCACTGGGGCCTTCGGTGGAGCTCCCTATGGGGCTACGAAACGCTGCCCTGGGTGGGGGAACCGCATGCGAACACCCCCACTGGGGCCTTCGGTGGAGCTCCCTATGGGGCCACGAAACGCTGCCCTGGGTGGGGGAACCGCATGCGAACACCCCC